GCCTCGCTTCCTGCGGCCTCGCCCCCCTCAGCCACGTCGCGAATCTCCGCGGGTGAGAGTGGTAAAGATGCATTTAGTTGGGGTTACATGCGTTTACACTGAAACATTTTACATCGAAATACATACAGAAACTTTATTGATACTTTTTTCTATGACTACGAAAAAAATGTATTTTATATACATGATTGATAATGGTAACTCATAGTTATCTACGAATTTGTGAAAACAAGTTTTGACAGAAACGCCTGGTTAAATGAAATTATTTTTGAAACCCGTTCAATTTCGTAGAAAAATTATATCATATTTTTAAATTAACTTCATATTACAAGATTAATTTAAACACAAAATGTTTCACTAATGCACATAAGCTTGTAGTTTTTATTATCATCATTTAGTTTTATCATAAGCGCACACACAAGCTGCGGTTTTAATTAAATTTGAAGCAGAAATTGTTTCAACGAGAGATTTCTTTTAAATAATTTTGTAAAATTTAAAGTAATCTGTATGTTAAAATAATTTAAACTAATAGCTCTTGTTAACCTTATAAACAAAAGAATCAATTTCGTATTATAAAAAATATTTGAGAGCAATGTTATAAAACCAGTAGGTCGGAATAAATATGAACACAGACAGGGGCCCAATAATTTCAATAAAGACTTGACTTTGTTCATATAATTACTGCGCAAATTTTATGTGCTATGAATTGTAAAGGTTAACCTTTTTGCTCAGTTATCTGTAGACGCCGAAGCTCTCATAATTCATAGAACTTTATTATAAATAGTTTTGTCGCAATTTATTAACATAAATAATTAAATTAAATGTAAATCTAAATACTAACATAAAATATAATTATTATTTAGCAGAGATAGCAAATTTACTACAAATAATTGTAATCAAGACCTAGGTAGGTCCTAGGATGTAACTAAGTTCACTGTATACTAATCAATATCATCAGTAAAGTGAGAAGATAAAAGCGCATCTGTCGGTCACAAGACAACTAATGTGTAAGGTGTCGGATTGTGTGCAGAGTGGTCGGGAGCGACGGGCAGACCCCTCGCCGAGGTCGTGTTACGTCTGCACCCAACTGCCTCATCCCCTCCCCCTACTGGCAACTTCTCTCTTATTGATGTCGGTTAGTATGACAATTTTATAATTGACAGACTTTAAGACCACGCGCACCTTGAACCAAAGTATCGCAACTATTTGTTTTTTAGTTGAGCAACTAAACAGTTGATTTAGCTGCGAAACAATCGACAATCGCACTACAGTGGAAGAATAACTTAAATTGTGTGTCCGCTCTAAGTAAGTTTGACTTGATAGAACTCTTGTGATGTATAGAGGATGGCGGGGTGGTGGTTCGTGCAGAGGAAGCGCTGATCGTGAGCTTCGTGCTACTTCTGTGGGCTGCTGCTATTGCGCTATTCTTCAACCGCTGGGGCAAGATCAGGTGCGTGTTTGCACGGTTATGATGATGACGTAGTTATTTTTGCAATAAAGAACGCAAGGAAGCAAAGATGTATTAATGTTTGGAGATTTAAGAGGACTGTGGTTATGAAAATAAGTCTAAAGTGTTAAAGTTCTGGATTGTAAAATAGAAGGATTACATTGTTTCTATGTTTTAGTGTAAACATTTATAGAAACACATCTTTTATTGGAATACGTTTCCCAGGATGCTGGAGCCGTACCAACCGAAGTTCCAGCAACAACATCGACAGAGTTGCGTCCTCACGGAGAACTCCGTATCAGTGCCACCTCATGTGAGATTTGCATATTAGATTTTTACCAACTGTTAAAATAACTTTATACCTCGTACGCACGGGTCGCTTTTTAGCACTCTGGGTTCGCGTTTTTTTAACGATTTCGCTGAAATAAACTCTTTAAAATAACCCTTTGTTTCACTTGCCCAGAAATCAAAATACAACGCTGCATGAAAACCGTCGGGTTTGTATAGTAACGTATAGGTATTATGAAAAAGCCACCGCAAAAAAAGGAAACCTGGATATTTATTTGTTCGCTTAAAAGATCCCGTGTGTACGAGGGCTAAGGTATCTGGAGCTAAGCTAGATAATTAATTTATTGTGTTTTGTATGTAGCACCGAGCGTCAATGTCACGCGCCTGTATGTCGTATGACTACGGCCCTTCCTTCACAGCCTACCAGCCCTACGCGTATCTATCACATAGGCCTAGACAGGTACATACTGCTCTTGTTATAATCCTAAAAACACTTTCTTTAAGCTGTCAACATTTATAAACCTAACAGCCAAACCTGGCTCTAGCTCCAAAGATTTAGAACAGAACTTTTTTAATGCTGTATTTCCCAGAACTCAGTATTCGTGGGCAGCGTGGGCGGCGGCATGGCTTTGATCCCTGAAAGTCCACCTCGGCGGTCGCGTTCAGCTGCAGACCTCCCCGCACTGGTCACTCCGGCGGACCTCCCTCACACCACACCGAGATCCTCCCGCGCGGCCAGTCTACACAGCGCCGTGGACCTGAGAGTCTGCGTACCTTCGCCCCGGACCTCTAGAGCCGCGAGTCTCCATTCGGGCGACATGCATAGCTCGGTGCAGGTCCATGTTAGAGGGTCAGGGAATAATCTAAACAGACCAAAGAGTCCAAGAAGACTAACAATCACGAATGTATAAGTTACGGGATTCTAAGTATTTAAGTGTTGTGGCGGACCAATCGTGTTTGCAAGGAATTTTTATTTTAATCTAATTTAACTATTAAGTATTTTTAAGAGAAATATGTAATAAATCAATTTTAAATGTAGAATCTTCTACAATAGTAACTTAATTAACTAAGTGATTTTTTATTAAAATAATTTAAATGTTTTTGTTTTTTTATATGTCAAGTAAAAATATCCTTTTCTATGTATATTTTTATTATTATTTAACGTTCAGACTGATTCTTTATTAAATTTAATTCACTTAATAATAAGGTCTTACAAATGACTAGAATATTAGTATTTCTCCCTAAAATCTATTCTTCTAACTATTTCCAAGCTCTCTTCTAATTCCTGTAGATTTTGAATTTCCCTTCTTCATATCTCTAGAAGTAAACATAAAATTAAAAATATTGAAATATTGCTTAGTCATATGGTGCTATTCGATAGACTTCTGGCGTGAATTCTTTGAATTGAAAATAACAGATTTTTTTATCATTCGCTCTCTATGACTATTGAGTTCAATAAACATGTATTTCTATATATATTTAATAATTAAAATAAATGCCAAAATTCATCTATATATTGTTAATTTAGTACAAGTTCGAGCATTAGTTAAAAAAAAATAGCACAAAAATTTTAGCATAGTTTATTTAGTATTAGCGTAATTGTATTTTTATAAATTATTTTAATAACTATAGATATAGAGAAGATATGTAAAGTTCTATGTAGTAATAAATACATATAGCTGACGCTGAAAGGAAAACCTCGTCAAAATTTCACGATTTCATCGATTTTCCTGAGCCATGGCTATTTCATGCCGTCCGCAATCAAATGCTCCATTAATACGTAGTTTCCTTTACCTACATAAATGTATTGATATCAACAACAGCCGAAAACAATAATCATAATTGTCTTTTAATTAGTGTTTTTAATCAATTTGGCTCAAGATTTACTGATCTAAAGGTCGCAATAAAATAAAAAAAAGTCTATTAGTTCAAAGTGATCGAATTGTTTTCGAAATTTACTGAATCACTCAATCACGAAGATTGTATTTTTTCGGATGTATACTTTTGGCATTGAAATGTGAAAATATTTATTGTTTTAAATTATTTACAAGGTAAAGTTATTTCTCAGAATCAGTAGTTTCTATAAACTTTAAATTACATTTCAAAGATAATAGATATATTTATGTATTTTAAATCTAATCGTAACACTCGCAAATACAATTATAATTAAATTTAATCGATAAATGAAAATAAAATTGTACAAACAAAAGCAATTAGTAAACATTTGTTTTATTTTAATCCAGTAATCATTAAGATATAAGTAAGTTTGTTCATTTGATGTTTTTTTAACACCACCGTACCTTATAAAATTACATGTACTGTTTTGTACGTGGTTATATAATAATATTAAACAATAACTAGCGGTTTACGTCTAAGCAAGTCCTAATAAGTTTAGTTCTGTAGTGCCAACACTTGAAGACTTTATTGCACATTCTTTATTACTCCGTTGACTTTATTGTGGCCATGAAATGAGAAATTATATATGTCATCACAGTTAAGTATTTTACTCAACTTTAGAAAAATGTCGGTAAAAAGATAGAAATTATAGATTTTTTTTTGTTAGCACACCTTTTTTCGTATTTACGATAATTATTTACTTGTTAATGAAAATTGGATATGTCCTAAAAAGTCTTAAATTAACTTAATGCTTCCATTTTTTAAGTAATTAAGTTTTTTAAGTTACTACATAAAGTCGAAAACAACTCGCTTGTTCCCTGGCCCCAAGTTGAAACAGTAATACCCCGGGCGCGCCTGGCGAAGCAATTAGCACACAAATTGACTAAATGTTGCCTTTAACATCTTTCAGCACTAAACCCTCAGTTTATCATTATTACTATGAAACTATTATTTAATATTACTTACCCTTAAGTTAATAATTTTGTTATGAGTATACTGTAACAAGTAAAATATTAGTGTTACGTTGAATTAATTATCCAAAAAACATATCAAATGTAACGTGAAAAAAAAAATCTCTCATTCTAATAAATTTGAAAGTTCTTTACTCCATAGTAAAGTTTCTACAAAACAACATATCTGAAGTAAATCATAAAACGCAATGATTTACATCAGCCTTTGAAGATTAAAGAGGATTTCGTAAGATTACAATAAAAAATAAATCAATCGAAATCATAAAGAAAAAATATCTTCATAAAAACCAGGAACACGAGTAAACAAAGAGAACTTTCGAGAGCTTTGACTTTTATTTCAAAAGCGAAACGAAGTTTGAACGAAGACAAGTAACTTGATCGTTGTTTTATATTTACTTTGCAGTTAACATAAACTTCTCTGTTTTGAATAAAAGTATGAGACAAACTTTCCTTACTCTTTTACGATCACAATAAAGCATACTAGATTACGCCTGCGACTCCGTCCGCGAAAACAAGAGCATGCTTGCAAATCCTATGTGTTCTTCCAGACTATCCTCTACATCTAAGCCAAACTTCATCAAGATCCGTTTATCAGTTTAAGGCATAAACATCTATCATTCCCTCCATCTAAACTTTCGCATTTTTAATGTAATAAGTAAGAGTAAAGAAAGTTTAAATAAAAAGAAACTAACAACATTGAGGAACCAAAAACAAGTTGTGCAGTAAAATCTTGTTTTTTAATGATGCGTTGGTATTTTTCTAAAAATACGAAACGAAAATTTTAAAGTTATTTCTAAACGTGAAAAAAATGCGATTTAAATTCCTTTTTATGGCGCTCGGGTAAATAAACTTAATTACGAACATTAAAGAGATTAGAAAATTAAAGCTAAATTCAGTTATCTTTTAATATAAAGGAGTGTTATCAAATTCGTTATCATATAATAATTAATCCTTTCAAAGCATCTGCTTGTAAACTGGAGGATCAAAGCGAGCGAACTCTAACAAAAGATCCGAGCGCACTTCGCAGCCTCGGACTACGGACCCCCAACCCTAGACCCGGCGGGTCAATTAACGCACAATTGTGGCGACATCACTCTATGTCTCTATCTATAGACTATTTTAAACGATATATTTATTTCTTAAACAACAAATTGATGACTTTTACATTTTTAAGAGAAACATTCACACAAGTAAAATTATTGATGTAACAAGTAGCGGTGTCAACTTACCTTTATCATTTTAATTGTTGAATTCCCATAAAAATATAGAAAGCGCTTAAACTGAGGAATTTCCAATTTTCCAATTCCACGAATCCTAGATATTATCAGAGAATTAATGAAAATACTAGTTCAAATTGTAACATTTTATTATAAACGTTAATATTACTGTTATCCGTAATTTGAATATTGGAATGGAATAAATTGTACTCATTTCACACAAACTAGAATGTCAGCCTTCAGCTCAAAGTCTAGCATTCCTGTTCCTAACGTTTCTATGACCTTAAATACTATAAATTCTAATCCATTTGTAGGAAATGAAATGGCATTTTAATAAAAAAAAAATTTTGCGCAGTAAGGATCGTGGCAAACTGAATTTAAGTAAATTATTAAACATTCATTATCATCATCTCCCCTGCCTTATCCTACTCCCGTAGTGTCTTCGTCGTAGTGTGTTTTCTTCCTCCAAAGCACTCTGTCATCCGTCATCTCAGTCATCACTCCCTTCTTGATCATGTCACTTTTCACGCAATCCATCCATCTCTTTCAAATTATTAAACATTCATATCAACTAATTAGGAGATGCAGAGATTGTGAAATTTTACACGATCCTAATGACACCTAAAGAGGCAATAGTTTAATAGTTAAAGGTACCTACTACCAATCACACGGTCGTAGGATCTACACAAACTTAGTTACTATTAGTAGATGTGGTAGATACTAGGTATAAAACGATTTGTGTTAACGCTACTCCCCACCTCTGTATTAAAAAAAAGCTATTTGTTTAAAAGAAATTATATTATTTGGAAATATACGTCCGTATTTTATAAATACATTAATCATGTTTTACTGCATGAAATGTAGCCGACATTTAACTTTTTAACGCCGTTTTATGGTACATAAAGCTCAGTTGGCCTACTGCCAGCCTGCAGAGAGGTCAATTTACTGCATACAGTTTTACAGATGTATTTTCTTAGCAATATTAGAATTAAATTGAACTGTTTTTTTTTTAATTTATTTAAATCATGTAAGATAAATAATACATAATAACAATTGACAAAAAATTTTATATCCTAAACACTAAACCTAATTAAAACATGTGCGCGCAGCCAATAGCCCATGATCGGACAGTCGGGCTTGTCTCTTAGCCCTCTTAGGATGCTATTAGTACTCTCCCGAACTCTACGTAAAATGTTAAATCATGTGATCCAATTTAATCGCCATTAAGAGTGCTGACTACTAAACTTAAGTGAATTTAAAGTAATTTAGAAATGTCTAAAAAAAATATAAAGTTACAAGGACTGTGATAGGCCAAAATAAACGGCAAAAAATCTTAGTAAGTAGGTTTTAAGTACAGTAACAAACAAGTTGTTTTGCCCTCATTTAACTTTAAAAGTTTTTATTACAAGTCGTAAAAATCTTACCAAATTTTAATGACAAACTAACAAAGCAACCTAAGCAATGTAGTATTTATGTGTTGATTTCTCTTTTCATGACCTGTAAATGTAACTGATATGAAGTAAGTACTAGTAGTAAGTAGTGCTTTCAGGTAAACAAATTTAAAATTACCAATAAGAATCTTACTTCTTACTAATATTATAAATGTGAAAGTTTAGATTGATGGATGGATGTTTATTAGAGTTTGTAGCCTAAACGGCTGAGCTGATTTTGATGAAATTTGGTATAGATGTAGAGGATAGTCTTAAAGAATACATAAGCTAGTCTCTTTGTGTTTTTAATTCCACGCGGACGCAATCGTTCGGACGAAAGCTAGTAATTATAATATTTTGAATGCCCAAAAGTTTGATTATTATCATAGATGGAATA